GAACGTCGCTGCCTTAATTTCCTCATTTGAAGGTATTTTAATCAAATTTTCATTCATCTCAGCAGATATACATGGTTAAATAACCTCTGCCACTACATCCAAATTGGCATCTCCATTAGAGGAGAAAATGGTATTAAAATAATCAGTAATTATCCTTGCAATATCACAACAGATCATTAAGGTTCTTTACGACGTCCCAGCCGAGCCAATGCAGGAAGAGGATGTTGTGGTTCATAATGGATCTGAAGAGCCAGAAGGTCCGATATCGTCGCTTTGGAAGAAGGAGAAGACTCATGAAGCTCCCTAATAACCTTTACGTTCTCTTGTATTTCATTCTCCTTAGTCGAGCTATGACGTCGAGCTCTGTCCACTGGTAAAGAAAATCTTTCCTGAGCTMGCCTCTTTGACACAGATTGTGTGTTTGTTGACTCCTCTATTTCTTGTTCAGCTTCGTTATGTTGCATAATCCTCTCAAGAGCATGTCTTTTTGAAACACTTTTTACAAGCTCTCCATTTTCCTTGACATTGTTGGGAGATCTATTATCAGAAAGGTCTCTAATATTTGTATTCTCCACCCTCTCTTTTTTTTTTCATAAACTACATCTCTTGAATTTTGTCTAAAAGACTCCAATGTGGAGTAGTGATTGTTTGTAGGATGGGAAGACTAATTGCTATGTTGCCTAGAGGCTGCTTCTCGATTCTGGACTTGAGTTCGAATTACCGATTCTGCCTCTCCCCTTCTTACTTCTCTTGTGTTACCATGATGCTCTTCTTTATTGTCTTTGATAGGCCTATACTCCTCCTTGGTAATTCTCATGATGATCATGAGGGCGATGTCCCTCTCGATTACCTGGTATCTATCTCCCTACTCTACCTATTGTTCTGTTCCCAAGCTTTATATCGAGGACGTTTTGATATGTTCTCATAGTATCTAGGTGGTGATTTTTGAGTGGGGGATCAACTCCTAGGTCATCTTTTAGGAGAATTTCCCATCTTATATGCACCAGGTTGTTCTACTTGTACTTCTTGCCGCAGGGAGCCTCTATGTCTCTTATCTTCCTGTTGATTCACGTGTTCGACAATATATTTGTATTCGGTAAAGGGTCGGAAATTCCCGTTTAATGATACTAACTCGGAAACAGATTACGGCTAGTGAGGTTATAGGTGATAGAAAAAGAACTGTGTATCGAGCTTGGCAGATATGAGGTCGCCGTTTTCTAGATCGTGGAAATCGAGGTCGCCGAATGGGTGTTTGAGGTCGATTCTCTGCTAAGTCTTTTAGTGGCCAGATCTTATATTTGTCGATCAATCGAACTCAATCAGGGGATTCTTTTGATTTTGGTGTCAGAGGATGATTGTTTTTAGCTCTCAAATTCCTTTATACTTGTCCAAGAATGGAAAATACATGCTTAACTCATGGGATGGGGTCCTCTATTTATACTAAAAGTAGAATGAATAAGGTACTAGGGTTTTCTCGGGACCGACGCTATGTCATTCACTGCAGAAGATGGCTGGGCTTCCTTCGGGCCCGAATCATTAATCACTAAAACGAGCTCGTTGGGCTTCTACCTTCTGGGCCGAGCTCGTCGGGCTTCTGCCTGCTGGGCCTCTCCGGAAATGGGCTTCTAGAGTGACTACTGTTGAAGCCCGTGCCCAACACTTCGTCCAACCTGGAGATTGTCTTTTGCTGATTTATGCCTAAATTTGATGCATGGGTTGGCCGATTCCTTCCAGCTAGTGTGCAATCCTTTTCTTCATGGGTAATTGAAAAACAAATAAAACAATGTTTCTCAAGTCTTTCATAGTCGAATTCCATAGGCGCTTCCTCCCCAGCTCTGAGCTGAACATTCTTCTTCATGAAAAGCGGCTTAAAAGCATTTATCTGCACTTGTATACGACCCTCTTTGGTCTCTTGGCTGATGTACTTTCTAAACGAACTAGCTATTGCTTTGAGATTATTAACGGTCCAAAGATGGGTTGGTAAATCATTAATCTTTATCCATAAGGGAATTTCACTAGGGAAATATGTTGAAATCGACGGTCCCCACCGCTGCAGGACGGGCATCCATCTCTTGAAATGGAAAGTGGCTCGCCTGAGAACAGAGAGAAGATCTTCGTCCGACTAGGATCGAAACTGGAAATGCTCCCTTCCCAAACTTATTGTCGAGGCGCTATGGATTTTCAGGTGGAAAACTCGTCCGATGAAAGTTAAGTGATGTTCTTCTATCAGTTCAGCGTTATCAATATCTGATAAAAGAATAGGAGATCGCGAATCCATTGGCTTGATCCTGATATTGCTTTTCCTTTCTCCGATCTGGTCTATCGATGATTTGATATCCTAGCAGCCCAGACGAACAAGGACAATAACCGACGAGATTTTGGTTGCAAGGAACCCTAGAGAAGAGTAGTAATGAAAATGAAAACTTCGAGAAAATTAGACAAAAACGAAACAAAAACCAAAATTGCACGACGCAGTAAGAGAGTATACTAGCTAAAACACCAAAGCTAGAGATCTCACGAGCTCATACGATCGATCTAGAGTTTTTGCAAGAGAAATCTGCAAAACCCTAAAAATCGTCCTTATAACCTAAAATCCTAGCGCCACTCATATTTCATCGTTTGGTACTTGAAACTATCTAATATATAAACTTTTTGTTTTGCATCATTTTTTGTCCCAATTGTTCGAATTTCTGGAAAATACTGTAAACTAAAAAATTCAGTAAAATACCAAACCAATAGAAATAGTTGATAAAAACTTATAAAAACGATAAGTCACTAAATTATTACATTTATCAATATAGACGATCTTCACCACATTGTCTCCACATCTCTCACATCATTATGCATCGTATAATCATACATATCCTCTTATCATTATCCATCACATCATCATGTCACATCACATATCATTATGCATCCCACCATATCATCATCCTAACTAAACACAAATGTAATAGCAAGAATGATCGAGTAATGTAAATACACAACTTACTCTCTAATCTTAGCAATACGGGTTGGAAGTTTTAAATTTCAGCGATGCAGTCTAATTTGATGTTGTGATTGGAGATATTGATAATGGATTGATATTCTACGGTTAACGATTATGTCTAAGATTTTCTAACAAGTAGATTTTATGATTTTTTATGGAAAAAGTAAGCGCTATTGGTTAGGATTTTGGTAGTAGAATGGACCTCCTCCTCAAAAAGAGCCTAAGTGGCTCTCTATTTCCTATCTTACGTGACTCATTTCTTTCCTCTTCCTCTTGGCCCAACTACTTTTCCTAATTTTTTCCTCCGTCTTCTCTCTGCCTCTCCTCTTTTCTTCTCATCATCATATGTTATTTCCTCCCCTACCACTCCTTGGCTTTAGTTTCTATAAGGAGAGGTAGGTCGTAGGTCTTGATGACTGTGGGAGTCGAAACTAGCACAATTAGATTTGTAAGGGTTTCGAGAGGAAGCAGAGATTTCTAGGTTAAGCTACGAGAGAGATGATGAGCAAAGAGAAACGCTTGTTATTGCTGTGTATGCTTTTTTGAACAAAGTTGCGGATACCCTTTCAAGGGTTTTTACATCAACTATATATAACATTCCTAAGTCGGCTAAGTTTTCCTAAGTCATCTTGGATTCCCTCTTCGCCTATGTCGGTTTCGCCGAAGTGGGCTTCGCGACTGGACTGGGCTTGCTGTTTTAACTGGTCCGGAGGTGAAGCCCAACCTAGTTGATTTCCACCGCCATTTCGTGGGTGTCGAGAAGTCATTGACTCGAGTCTTCTTCGTGCCGCCGACATCGGTCATCGGGTCTGCAACCATTGGATCCAATGTCATCTGATCTTGGGTGGCTTCGTTGCTCGCCCCGGAGACGTGACCCGAGGTGAATAGTAACCCGA